TTCGCAGATAGTTGGTAGGTCTGTCGTAGGTCCATAGGCAGTAGGGGTTCGATCTGTAGGTCTATAGCGTAGAAGTCTTAGTGAGTTCCTGAAGCTTAGCTGTAGACCTTCTAGAAGGTAGGCAAGTGGGCAAGTGGTCAAGTGGCGAGGCAAGTGGTGGACTAAACCGCAGTGCAACAGCAGTACAACGTCGGTAGGATAGCGGTGAGTCGACAGTCAGTCAGCGGAAGGTCCAGTCAGTCCCAGTCCGGTCCAGCAAGTACCACAGGGGGACTGTGAGCACCAAGGGCCGATGGCAGAGGGCAGACCAACGAGTTTCTGAAGTATAAATCAAGGGGCAGCGCCCAGCCATTCATTCATTCCTGCGTGAGCCATGCGGAAGCGCTGCCACAGCGACTTGTGCAAGGAGGTCTGCAGATGAGCCCGGAGGACGCAGTGGGCAAGAGAGAGGGAGTTAGCATAGCGATAGATTAGATGCAGCGATAGCTGCCATAGCTGTAGTTAGTAGTGAGTGTGTGTGCGTGTTCGAGTGTTAGAGTGATGCGTGTGGGATATCCAGGGTGATCCAGTGTATGTGAACAGTGAGATGTTTGGGCGCTGAAGTCGCCATAGCCAATTGAGAGTGAACTCGTGTCTGAAAGCCATATCTCTGAGTTTTGAGTGGGCGCATGTCGCCAGTATGCTGCGTTGCTGTTTACGTGCGTGAAAAGTGTGTTTGAGAACGAGTCTGATTGCAAAACGTCCTAGTTGTGCCCAGCCTCTTTTCGGAAGGATCCCTAAAGCATATTAGCTAGGACCCAACGTCATGCAGAGATACACTTCAAACTTGTACTCCGTGAGGGTGGGCAAAGAATATATAGTCTGGATTCGAATTCAGGTCTGTGTGCCTGCTGGTTTGCATGCCTGTCTGAGTGCTTGTCGGCCTGAGTGTGTGTGTGACCTGCCAGGGTACTTGTTGGTTGAAAGGCCCCTCAGGGCCGGTACTTACCTGTGGCCGTGACTTTGAGGGTTGCAGCGGGGAAAACACTCAAGTAGCGGGGGTAGGCCCGCGACACTTAGAACAGTGGGAAAAACACTCAAGTAGCAGGTCGGCCGGTACCAGTCAAGTAGTGGTAGAAGTGTCGGGTACTGGATGCCGAGCAGAAGAAGACAAAGCTGGCATATTTAGAGGCCCAGTAACGGTAGGTTAGAGGTAGGTTAGTACCAGTCCAAGTAGCCTGAGCCTAGGGCCTGTCTGGACGATAGCAGAGCCTGCAAAGATGTTTCCCTCCGAAAGGGAGGAGGAACCGGTTGCTGGGAGGCCGCTCGGCCTACGAAGTCACCGCCGAAGAGGCCAGTAGGCTGCTATATCTTCGGGAGGAGCAAGAAGCTCCTCCTCATTTTGCAGTATGCAAGGATTGGCAACATGCTGCTGGAGCCAAGCGCTGGACTTGGGAAGCGCTGCCTGGAGGAGAGGAGCAGCTGGGCGCTCAGCCTGGCTCTGGCGAGCAGCCCAGACTGAGGAGGAGGAAGAAGGGGGCGAAGGAGGAGAGTGGCGAGGTACCTATCTGGTTATAGTGGACACCATCTTCATCACCTTATTGGGCGCTGCATCTGGAAGGCCCCACTTGGGGTAATGCCAAACTGCTACATGCTGCGCCTGCACAAGAGGGCCATTTTCCAGGCCCTGCGTCCCTCAGGCCGAAAGCCTGAAATTCAGGCGGAAAGCCGGAAAACCAGGGCCTACAGGCCCCGTGACCATTCAGCTCGAAAGCCTGAAATCCAGGGGCCCACAGACTCTGTGTCGTTTCAGACTAAAAATGGCAGCAGCCTTTTGTAGCCTGAAACGAAGGGCCATTTCCGGTCTGTCATCAGACCGGCCTGCCCTGAAACTTAGGCACCGAACCAGGGTTTTAGGAACAGGCTATTTTTGACCTGTTCCCACGACAGCTGCAGTAGCAGCCCCTGGCCCAGTTCGGCATTGGCAAGAGCAGCCTCCTGGACTGCCCGCCCTGCAACTGCAGGCAGTCGGAGGCAGTGAGGAGGCAGGCTGAGATAGTACATAGGGACTTCCCATGCACTTCACGGGTAGGCAGGAGGCAGTAGTCTTCAGGATTCGGCAGCAGCACTCTGGAGGGAGCGCTGCAGGAGTAGTAGTAGCGTTAGCCTTAGTCTTCAGCGCTGGGCGGCAGTAGGTAGCTGTAGTCTCCAGCGCTGGGCGCCATAGCTAGGATATCACTAGAGAGAGAGAGAGATTGGGAGGAGGCCAGAGGTACTTACCTGCAGCGCCGTTGCTCCAGCTTCGTCTTCGAGGTACCTGCAGCACAGCGCCAACTTCACAGGTTAGTACTTGGCTCGTGACAGAGAGAGAGACTTCTCCTTCTTCCTCTTCTCAGTCCACCATCTCCCTCTCACCCTCTCATTATCTGACTTCACTGCATCAGCAGACTACGAGAGAAGAGAGAGCTTGGTGACATTGGATCCAGACTCGACTTTTGGGCTTCTGACATTTCGACGGGGGATTATTTGGGACTTGTGACAAGGACTTGGTGTTGACGACATTTCCATCTCTCCCCCTCCTCTTCGTCTGATTCCCTCCTCTTCGTCTGTGTATGTCTGGACCTGGCGCTTTCTTCCTGTGTATAGCGCCAGGCTCCTTCACACCTTGTGAGGAGTATGATGTATGTTTGGTCTGCGTTAAACATTGATTGGGCTAGTCGTTAGCATCCTAGCATTGCTTCGCTATCTTGTACTACGTGAATGAGGTCAGTCCCGGTCAGGTCAGGATTTGTATCTAAGTCTTCCCTGCGCTATTCAGCACCATTTTGTATGTATCAGAATGCACATTGCTTGTTGAGATTCTCCTTGCACTGCATTGTCCATTCAGTCCTTTTTATCACATTGCGGATCCTCGGTTATTATGTACATCGCCCATCTGGGCATGTAACAGTTGGTATCGGTGCACCGCACGTGAATCAGGACAACCTGATCTTACACGTGTGCGGGGACTAGGTAGCTGATTAGTCTTGATAGATTGATTAGAGCACGCTAGTTACCCCCCAAAATCACGATTTTGACCTTGCTGCCGAAAATCGATTTTTTTTTTCTTTTCTTGGATTTTGTTTTCTCGCTATTCTGTTGTGGAAAATCGCAATAGCAAAACATCTGAAAATTCCATTTTCGTTTTTCGTCTGAAAACTCAAAATTTCGTTGTTGAAAATCCGGAATATCCTTCTTTTCGAAAATTTCGATTTCCTGTTGCATTTCCCGTTACTTGGAAATTCGGAATATCTTTTTTGCAAGGAAAATAAGCAACAGCGAGATGACAATCCCAGATCACACCATCACATTGCAAGCCAAATAGTCACACCGTGTCCAGATAGCAGCATTGCACCAATAATACACCAATGGAGTTTCGTAGCACTGAAAACCAATGTCCGTGGAGAGCACACTCTCCTCTCTCAACAAAAGAGTCCAGTTCCCTTACACTCACACTTGGCGCTCAGCGCCCAACCTGCTCCTACACAGCTACTACAGACTACAAAAAGACAATGCAACTGTTGACATCAGCAGCAGCCCGAAGTACTTGAAGATGCCGCCCATGCAGACCATCGCCAATACAAGGTACGTGCCCTCACATCATCATCATCATCATCATCCTTCACCTATCCCCTGACTTCACCCACACCTGTCCTCTCTGTCACCCGAAGACCAGCCCTGCGCTTCACTGTAGTCCAAGCCCACCAGCTATGGTGGCTGGGCTATGGCGCTGCCCTCAGCAGCGCCCTCCTCCTCTGCACGACCGCACGTGTTGCACCTCGCCTCTCAGCGCCCCTTCGAATGGGCGGGCTTCTCAATTGGCTCGACCGCTACGGCACGCGATGACACGCTACGACACGTTACGACAAGCGACAGAACTCGACGACACACGACGTGCTCATCGTGCTCTCTCTCTCTCTCTCTCTCTCTCTCTCGCGCGCGCGCGCGCGCGCTCTTGGACTGCTCTTTGGTGCTCGGTGCTCATCGTGGATCCGTGTTTTTCGTCACGTGCTGATCGTCGATCCGTGCTTTAGTGCATGATCATGTGCTGATCGTGGATCCGTGCTTTTCTTTGGTGCATGGTCACGCGCTCATCATCGATCCGTGCTTTTGGTGCTCGGTGCTCATCGTGGATACGTGCTTTTCGCGCTCATCATGGATCCGTGCTTTTCTTTGGTGCATGATACGTGCTTTTTGTGCTCATCGTGGATCCGTGCTTTTCTTTGGTGCATGATACGTGCTTTTCGTGCTCCTCGTGGATCCGTGCTTTTCTTTGGTGCATGATACGTGCTTTTCGTGCTCATCGTGGATCCGTGCTTTTCTTTGGTGCATGATACATGCTTTTATTCTGTGACAGGTTGAAGATACTGGGTGCTGAATATGGAAAGCAGGCTAAGATTCTTGTTATGGTTGCCTTCAGAGGAATGAAGTTGGCATGATTGCCCTCCCAGGTGCGACCCCGAGATTGCGAGAAAGAAACAGGAACACAAGGCACTGCATGGGAAATGAGTTGGAGGGAATATTGTGTGGGTCTGGATTGGTGAGGAGGGGCCACGTACCTCTGGAAGCAAACGCGTGCGCGGTGGTTGATTAGAGGGGAGGAGGGAGGGGGCGATGGCAGTCACATCACGTGTTGGTTTGGGGACACTAATGGTGAACACCGTCGCAGGTGGCCATCAATCTTCCTCCTCAGGATGCCTGGGACACAACTGGACTTCCACTCGCTGCAGGGACAGATGTAGGGTCTCCTGCAGTGTGAACAGACGATCGACATTGTTATTGCGACAGCCTCGTGTTGGATCTGTGCGTGACTGTGTTTCCACCACCTCTGTGAGTGTGGACCTGGGAGGACAGTGCAGATCGCGCATGTGCATTCGCTCGGGTTGTCCCGAGGGCTTAGCTGGTTGTCACCTGCTGCTGGGAAGGAACCCCTTGCGTTTGAATTGGTTGCGGAGAGACCGCAGAGGGTGTTTGCTGTGCAGAGGCACAGACCCAAAACTCAATTCATCTTTGGAGGACAAGGAGCAACCACAACAGCAGCGGAAGCAGAAGCAGAAGCAGCAGCAGGATGAGGAGGAGAGTGAGGAGGAGGAAGGGAAGGATGAGGTGGGAGAGGAGACTGAAGATGCTTGTGACCAGCACAAGGTAGGTGTATGCCAACCAGGTACTGTTTAATAATGTGAATGTGGCATTGGAAGTGATAGCAAAGCAATGTGAATGCGAGTGTGAACTACATCATTTAACTTTGCCCCTGGACTGGAAAGAGTAAAACTAAGTCACTGGATTACTAAAATCTTGGCTATTCTGTGAAGTTTTCCTGTTTTACAAATGCTATATCATTTTCAATATCCAACACTAAATTGTTTGGTGATAGGAGTAGGAAGTATGAGGGCTCCTGTGGGCTCTCTTAAGCGCATGTTACATGGCCAGTTGGGCGATGTACATATAAAACCGAGGATCCGCGATGTGATAAAAAGGACTGAATGGACAATGCAGTGCAAGTGGAATCTCAACAAGCAATGTGCATTCTAATACATACAAAATGGCGCCTTGTGGCGCAGCGGAAGACTTAGATACAAGTCCTGACCTGACCGGGACTGACCTCTATCACGTAGTGCAAGACAGCGCAGCAGAATGCTAGGATACCAATGACTAGCCCAATCAACGTTGCAACGCAGACCCAGCATACATCATTCTCATCACAAGTGTGAAGGGGCCTGGCGCTATACACAAGAAGAAGGCGCCAGGTCCAGATCATGCACAGACAAAGAGGAGGGGAACAGACGAAGAAGAGGGGGAGAGATGGGAATGCCGTCAACACCAAGTCTTTGTTACGAGTCCCAAATAATCCCTCGTCAAAATGTCTCAAGCCCAAATGTCGAGTCTAGATCCAAATGTCACCAAGCCCGCTCTCTCATAGTCTGCTGATGCAGTGAAGTCAGGTAGCGAGAGGGTGAGATGGAGATGGTGGACTGAGAAGAGGAAGAAGAAGAACTCTCTCTCTCTCTCATATGCCAGGTACTAACCTGTGAAGTTGGCGATGTGCTGCAGGTACCTCGAAGGTGAAGCTGGAGCTATGGCGCTGCAGGTAAGTATCCCTGGCCTCCGCCCAATCTCTCTCTCTCTAGTACTACTCTAGCTCCTAAGAGCGCCCAGCGCTGAAGACTACTCCTAACGCTACTAGCGTGCAGCGCTGAGGACTACTGCTAGCGCTACTACTACTCCTGCAGCGCTCCTCCAAGGTGCGGCTGCCGAATCCTGAAGACTACCTCCTGCCTCCTGAACTGCACGTGAAGTGCCTGGGAAGAACCTAGGAACTACCTGCCGGCCTGCAGGGCTGGCCAGTCCTATATAGTGCTGGCCCGTCCAGGAGGCTGCTCTTGCCAGTGCCGAAACGTGCCAGACCCTGGCGTTGAAGCTGAACTAGGGGTTGTCTTGAAAACGTGCCCGAAATGGCCTGTGCTAAAACCCTGGTTTGTTGCCTGAGTTTCAGGGCGGGTCGAACTGATGAGGGCCTGAAAACGGCCCTCAGTTTCAGGCTGAAAACACTCAGGGCCGGAAAGGCCTTGATTTAGCCTGAAACAACACACGGCCTGTAGGCCCTTGTTTTCAGACTTTCAGGCTGAAACGACACGGGGCCTGTAGGCCCWTGTTTTCAGGCTTTTGGCCTGAAAACGTCACGGGCCTGAAAGGGGCCCGTGCAGCCTGTTGCAGGCGCAGCATGTAACAACCCCCCTTCCTTATGAAGTCAAGCCGGGGCGAGGGCGAAGCTGACGATCTGAAGGTCGAACGTGGATGCGGGTGCGACGTGGCGCCGAAGATACCGGCTTGCCTTGCATCTTGCATTCATAGCGTGCGATAACATCTAGAGCTGTTGCTTGGAGTTCCGCACAGGTCAACCAATGGTCAGCTCTGTGACTACAGTACGCAAAGTGTACCAAGTACTCGGTTGGCCTGTTGCCGTAGCGCCGCTGGCAGATGATGTCGCCGACCTCTTGAAAACGGTCCATAGAGGGTGGGTCTTGCGATCATCACCCGGAAAAATCGTCATGTTCTGCTGGCGTGTAAAGAGCCAACTTGGAGCAATGAAAGACCGGGTAGACGGGCAAGCCGGCGGGCACCTGAATGGTGAAGGAAGGTTGCTCGAGTGCATCCCCAGCGGGTGCGACGATCGGCCAAGGCCCCATTCATTTCGGGAGGAGCTTGCGAGAGATATCTTGTTCGAGGTTGAAGTCCGCGGTGGAAACCCAAACAAGATCGCCGTTGCGGAATGGGCAAGGAAGACGCTGACGATTGGCCTGCTGGCTCATGCGTTGCTGCGTAATGGCCATCTGGTCGCGTGCCTTGACAAGTAGCTCTTGCATCCGACGCAAGAAAAGAAGATGGTCGTCGTTCTCGGCTGTTCGTGGAATGATTGTGTCCAACGACGAAGTGACCGGCGAGCCGTGCTCGAACTCGAAGGGCGACATCCCGATAGTCGGGTGGATGGACGAGTTGTATGCCAACTCGATATTCGGCAGCCGCTCAACCCAATCCTTTTGGTTGGGACGGATGAGAGTGTGAAGGAGAACCTGTGCGGTTTGATGCGCCCTCTCCATTTGGCCATCGGTTTGGGGGTGGCGAGCCAAACTTGGCTTTTGAGATGAGCCCCATCGTTTGATGAGCGCCAACCAAAAATCAGACATGAACCAAGTGTCGCGATCACAGACGATTTCCTTGGGGTAACCCTTGGTTCGAATCCAACCGGTGTAAAGAACCTCGACCAACTCCGGTGCCTTGGCATGTTAGCGGCAAGGCAAAAACATGGCAAACCTGGTGAGTCGGTCGACCACCGTGAGAATCCCATCCACACCGGTCTTGTGCTTGGAGAACGGCCCGGTAATGTCCATGGCAATCGCTTCCCTTCGGCGCAAGGGGGCCAGTAGCAGTCGCAACTTGCCGTATGGACGATGGTTGTGGGATTTGCAGCGTCGGCAAACCTCGCATGACTCGCAATAGCGTGTGAGGTCGTCGAGAAGGCCGGGCCACCAAAATCTCTCGCGAAGTCGGCCAATTGTTCAATTGACTCCAAAGTGTCCGGTGGCGGGAGCATCGTGGAAGTCGTGAAGAAGCCGTGTACGCAAGTGAGAGTCACTCGGTACACAAAGAAGGTCCTTCCCCCGCGTGTGGACAAACAAGTACCCGTGTTGGATCCGGTAGTGAGAAGGCGCTGGATTAGGAGAGGAGCAATTCGCGTACTTGTCGCGAAACTCAGGGTCGGCTTGGTAGCCGCGGATGAAGTTGTCCCGCAGGTCGTTGCCGATCTCGAAGGTCGAGTTAGCTGAAGCATGTGTGCCTGCTGTTCAGGCAGCCTTTGCTGACAAGTGGGTTACACATCATGGACCACCCACCTCCATAGTCAGCGACCGAGATCCCAAGTTTTGCAACAATGAATGGCAATCCTACTGTAGGGATTACCTTCATTCTCGCGTGGACATGACATCTGGACGTCATCCTGAAGCCAATGGTCATGGTGAAGTGATGAACCAGATTCTATTTCAGTTGCTGCGTCCTGTGATCAGTCCAGATCAACAAGATTGAGATCTCCATTTAGGCCGTGCACAACTTGTATATAATACTTCTATACACTCCTTGACTGGCTTCACACCCTACCGGTTGCAGTGGGGTCGTGAGCCACGACAACCTCTCGATGTTATTATCGACAAGGGTACCCCTACGTTGACGCCTGGAATTGCCGAGTTCACTAGACGTTACCGTGTGGACATTGAGCGCGCTCGTGCCAACCTGCTCAAAGCTCAAAAGGCTATCATTCAGCAGGCTAATAGGCACAAACGTCCCTCTACTATTCGCACAGGTGACTGGGTGTGGGTACTCAGTTCTGTGTTGTCACGAGAGGAGGATATTTCACCTAAGTTGTTGTCGTGATATATCGGTCCATGGCAGGTCTTAGATACAGTGGGAGCTGATCCTTTTGGACCATCCTATAAAGTGGATGTCCCTCTGCATCTACAAACCTACCCTGTCTTTCATGCATCTAAGCTGTTGCCGTTCACATCAGCTGATGCATTCCCTGGCAGGCCTCCTCAATTCAGTCCACCGATCCCTGACAAGGGATATGAAGTGGAATCAATTGAGGATGAGACAGGTACAGGTCCACACAATGAACACCTTGTGAAGTTTTGCTACCAGCCGCATACTGAAGGCCGCTGGTTCACTCGCAACGAACTTCTTAAAACTGCAGTCTGTTGTCCTCAAATATGAGGCAGCGCAGGAGGGAGAACCCCTTCGACGCTCTAAGCTCGGAGGTCCTCGCTCCGGGGGATGGTAGGTATGCAATGACTTGCTGGTTTGTGGTCGCCTGTAGCCATTGTCGTCGAGGCTGTACCATAGGTAGGATAGATTTGTAAGTTTGTTTGGCTGAGGGCTAACCGAGAGACCTACCTGTAGGGAAATTCTTGAGGGACATATCTATAAATTCGGGAAAACATAGGCCCGTACTAACTGAAATTGCCTACAGCTACCCTAACTGCGAATAGCAGACCCGGGCTACCCCTAGGACAGACAGACCCTATGGGCCTAAGCTGATAGACGGTCCTATAGCCTATAGCCGGGTTGGGAGAGGCCCTAGGTCGTGTCTAGGCTAGTGCAGGTTATAGATAGGAGGAAGACATCGGGTCAGGAATTTGGCAGTTGGTTCCGTGTACATCGCGGCTGTGCAACTCATGAACGAAAGTGGTGACAGCTTCAGCGTTGGAG